ATAAGGTGATTGGTTTCTCGAATTATTTGAATTATTTGGTAGTGGTTTACCAGAGCTGTTATTACTATGTGTATTTTTGTTTCGTAAAGTTTGATCTTTTTTCATGTATTGATAGAATGATTTATTTGGTCCTTTGTACTTTTGTGGTTTGTTTTGGTTATCTTGTTGTTTTTGTCTACATTCGGCAATGCTGTGTCCGTATCTTCGGCAATAACTACACCATTTTTTGAAAAATGGTTTACCTTTAATATCGGGAATTTTCTCATATATGATTAAATTTTCAGTAATTTTTTCAGTTAGATATACATCTGAATCTTGTATGTTGTTTATGTGTGAAGTATTTGTTTCGATTCTATTAACGTTTTGTAGTTTGAGAGTTTCTGTTTCTTCAAATTTCATTGTGATTTCTGCTTGTTCTAGTTTATCAACTAGTTTTCTAAAATCTAAATCTGGTTCTCGAATTGATGAGGGGTGTGATGCTCTCTTTTTAATAGCTATTTTTCTTAATTGAGGTGTTGGAGTCATCATTAAAATTTCTGTCATTTTCGTGTTTTTATAATCATGAGTGTTAAGCGAATATACTTTTCGAACTAGTGTTTCGATTCTAACTGCCAATTGTTTAATTGTTTCGTTTGGTAGTCTGCGAATGTCATTACATAAAACTCTTTGGTGTTGTTTATTTCTTTCAGAATCAAACATTTTTGAAAATTCTTGCGTAAATCTTTTCCAATCTGTTTTTATGTCCATTGGTAAAACTGAAAACCATTTTTGAGCTGCGCCATCAAGTGTTGTTTGTATTAACGCTGTGCGTCTATGTATCTAATTTTGACGGAGTGGTGTATTAATTGGTTCAGGTCCTATATTCAAAATTAAATTTGCTGTGACTGCATTTAAATAGTCTTCTACAGAATACTCAGGGTCTGTGCCTGTAAATACCATCAATGGTTTATTTGATGTTATTGACGATCCACCCATGAGGTATGGATTCTTAGTCATCTGTAGTGATTCTGCGTCATTTGGCATTTGTGAAAAACTTGTTAGTTGATTTTTTGTTATTTCATGTTGTTGTAAATTTTATGGTAGTGATATTTCGTTTTGCATTTGCGTTGGTTGGTAATAATCTGTATTTGTTGGATTTTGTGAGTAAAAATTATTATTTTGAGATGTGTGATTTGTTTTAGGTTGTCGCATATGTTGTTCTCGTGTATATGGTTCAAAAATATCTGGTTGGTTTACGTGATAGGAGTGAAGTTTTTGGTTTTGAAAATTTTGTTGTTGGTTTTGTTCGTAAAAATCGTCATCATCTGATGGAAGATAATTTGGTATATAATAAGGTGTTTTTTGTTTGTTTTGGTATGGCTGTTTACTGTTTTTATTTTGTTGAAAAAATGGGTAATTTTCACTTGGGTTTTTTGGAAATTGTGGGTGATCATTAAAATTTACTAAGTTCGATGTTGGTTGTTGGAAGTTTTGTCGTTGATTTTGAGGGTTTGTACGAGGAGGTTTAGATTTTTATGATTTATTTACGTAGTTATAATTGTGTTCTGCAAAATTACTTCTTGTGAATGTTCTTTGTTTTTGTGTTGGTTTCGTCATTGGTCTAAATGTTTAGTAATCCATATGTGAATATTTTGGAGCAACCGAGGGTTTAACCGTAGATTGCAATATTACTTGTGGTAATATTGAAGTTTTAGGTTTTGGCGTTGTAAGGTTTGGATGTATTGAAGAAATACTTTGCTGTGTAGTTGTTACAATTGTTCCAACTATCTCTTTATTTATAAAATGTAATGGTGTTTGAATATCTTGTTGTGTAAGATTTCTAGTTCCATTTAAATTTTCTTGTTGTACAAGAGTTGAATTTAAACTATTATTTTGTCTTCTATCGGGTAAAAACGAGTTATAGTTTAAAGGTGTTGCATCTGTTGTAAGTGGGATTTTTTTACATAGTTTTTGTGAATAGCTTTTTTACTGATTGCTTGACTTTAGATGTCTAGTGGAATGTTCAGGGATATTGGATGAGACCAATCAGGGTCCCAAATGTAGTCTGATTGTTCGGCAATGACAGTGTCATCGTTTTTACTTTGAGGTCTAAAACTTTTTCTCGCCTGTGCAATCAAGTCTATTTTATGTGTAAAATAGTCGATTATGAACCATGCTAAGATTTTTTGTAAATCGTGTTTAACATTTTGTGAAATTTCATTGTTTGAAAATTTTTCACGGATTGTGTTTAAAAATGCTGAGAATGCGGCAATTTTATTTCTTACTTTCATGTGTCTTGATGTTTGAACCGGTGACGTGCTCTAAGTTTCTGTCTTTTCTAGTATAGATAAATAACTATATATTATTGCAAAAACATTTTTAGTGAATATTGAATTTGCTCTCTGTGAATTTTGATGTTGTATGTTTTTAATTTATTCTGCGAATACTTTTGAAAATTCTAAGTGGACATCGTCTGTTTGGTTAACATGTTTGCCATGAAATTTACTTGCTGTACTGAGTTCTAAGGTGTATATTCCATATTGTTGTGTTAAGTTACATATTCTTTTTATATAATGATCGACATTTTGATTTTTGATTTTTACTTCTGGGAATTCTGCTTCACATGGGCTAATTCCTTGTTCGAAAAAATTTGCGATTAGATTATGGCAAAATTGTATTTGTCCTCTATCTTCAGTGAGTGAATTTATGATAAAGGGGAAAACAGAGTTTTCGTCTGGACTTTCATCACTTGGACTTTGGCTCATTTTTTTGTTTTATAACTGTCAGTGCGTAATGTTCGATGTGTCTGATTGGTTGATTCCAACTGTATAAACGTACTGGTTTATTTTTTTATATCTTTTTTATTCTTCTTTTTCTTTGTTTTGATGAACGTGATGTAGCTTCTGAATCGGAAAAGTATAATTGATCGTGAACTGGAAAATTTTAATTTACTGTGTCTTTTAGTTCTAAATTGCTGACTTCTGATTCGGAGACTGCGTTTCTACGCTTTGAAAAAATTTTTTGTGTGATTTGTCTTTGTTTACTTAAAATTTTTCTTTTTATTGTTTGTGTTTTTGTTCGAATATATCCGATTGTTTGTTTGTGCGGTGTAATTACATGATCCTATGCTTCGTTATTTGATTCTAAATTGTGTAGTACAATTGTTTGTTTATTTCCTAAATTGTTCAGTGACATAAGGTTTAGGATGAAGGGTGCAAGATTGTTATTAATGAATTTAATATCCTAGACTGTTAGTCCTTACGATTTTTTGGTTAGCCTAACTTAGGTCTTTTATTCAGGGTTGGAGAGAAAAGTATATATCGATTCCGAAGAATGATTGTTAATTTCTCGTGGCTATTCTAAGTTAAGGTGTTAACTTAATTAATCTTACTTAGGGGTAGTGGTTGTGTTCAAGGGTTGGAGAATAGTAAATCGATCCACAAGGTTCAGGTATAATTAGAACACAGGTAGTTCGTTTGGTACTATTTTAATACTTACTAAGATTTAAGATTTAGCCTGGGTCAGGTAAGAGGGGGGATTAAGTGAAGGATGAATAACCGAAGTTCTTCACTGTTTAGCCTAATTTGAATGTTTAGAGTGTTGAAAAATTTCTATTAGTCCTGGGTCTTTGAAAGGGTTGGGTAGTGAATCGACGTTTGAGGTCGTTAGACATTTTATTTATTGGGTGGGGGAGAACAAATTTGTTCTATTTAATCCAAGGATAGGCCTTGATGATCAGGATATAAGTTTTTATGGTATAAAATGGATTGAATTTAATTATTTAATGGAGATCCAAGGAAAGGCTTGATGATCTAATTTAAGATTGAATAAGTTGAAAATAAAAAGGGGTAAAAAGTTGGATAAGTTTTTAAAGATAATTTAAATTTAATTGATAGAAAGGTTTAGTGTTATATGATATTAGTGGTTAAATGATTGCTGTTATGTTTTAGGTGATGAAGCTGGGGATGCCAGGATGATTTATATATACAAATAATTTATGATCATGTTAACTAATTTTTGTTTTTTATTTTCATTAAATATATTTTTCAGATATCTTTTTGAATTTTACTGCAGTTTTGAAGAAAACGATTTGAGGTGTTTATATAAATCGTTATTGTACAATAGTAAATTCGGTTTAGCGCCTGAAATAATCATTGAAGCTTTTTTCTCAAGGTTTCTATGTTTAAGAATGAAAATCTAAATTCATGGCTAGTAAAATTCTAAATATAAAAGTTTGTGTTGGCTTTTGCCGTACGACCATGAAACTTAATGGTAAGTTTCTTTGTAGTCGTAGATCGTCTCTCGTCCGAGGTCTTCTGCCAATACCTGGTATCTCGTATTGTACGGAATAGCGGCTCTGATCTGTTGAGTCGTAGAGACATTTCAATTAGGTTATTGTCATATAACATTTTTGAAAATGTTTTTGTCTAATTCTAATCTATCTGTTAGTTCTAAGCTAATTTGTTTTGTAAGGTTTTGTTCGAGACTTTTGGTCGCACAATATGAGTTAGGTTCGAGGCGTAACTCATAGAGTAATTTCGGATAGGGTACACCGTCTGCTCGTCACGCTATCGTATTTTCGGCAAGATGATAGATTCGTGCAACTTCTTAGTCTAATACCGATCCTAGTCTTACTCTTATATCTACTAGTCTCAGGGTGTTTAACTAGTCTCTGCTAGGCTCAATAGATCTAGAGTATACTGGCTTATTGCGATTGCTGAAGGTCTCTTGGAGAAGTAACTAATTTCTAAGTTAAATTCAAATCTCTCTGGTGCTGAAATTACAAGTAATTTCAGCACTTACAAATAAGTGGGTTGTTAGTTAGATGGATCATGATTGGTTAATGTTAAACATTTTATAGAGATAGAATATCCAATTTATAACCAATAATAAAAATTGTTTATATCTGGTTTCATACCCGCCCATTATAAAAAGGGGAAACATTTTTTAAGAAATAAGAAATTTCGATTTTTTTTTCAATTTATTTGATTTGAAAACACGGCTTTGGTCGCAACAAGCGTTTAATTTTTCTTACCACTGGCAACCTCTTCCGGATCAAAAGGACCCCGTGCGGATTCCTGTGCTTCGACATCATCAGGAACTGGATCTGCAGCATCTGCATATGGTCTGCCGAAGTAGTCTGTCTTCAAATCTGAACAGGGGAAGTTCACTCCAAACACAACCAAGTGACGAATGTAACAGAGGAGGATAATGGCGAGAAAGATGCACCCAATTATTACGCAGAGTAGCGAGAAAATCCTGTTGCTTTTTCGATTGCACCTGATCATCTGCCCGGGTCGAGATCCCGCTCAAAAACCGCTAAAGATATGAGCGGTTTGAGCGGTTTTTCAGCAAGATTTGAGCGGTCTGAGCGGTTTGGGCGAATTGGGCGGTTTGGGCGGTTTTTTTAGAAAAACCGCTCAAACCGCTCAAATCTTGGTAAAAAAACCGCTCAAAAACCGCTCACTTCTTGCGGTGATTTTTGAACGTTTTTTTTTCAAGCAAGATTTGAGCGGTTTGAGCGGTTTTTGAGCGGTTTTTGAGCGGTCTTATAAAGAAAACCGATTAAAACCAACAAAAAGGCCTGGAAAGGTAATGTTACCCCGGGTTGACATCCATAAACCGAAAATGCTTATTTTAAATTTCCCCACACCGAAAAACCTTATCATACAATTGCCTGCTTCAAATGTATGGAAAAATGCTAATCATACAATTTTCATACAATTTCAAAAAACCATTGAAAAAAGATTCAATCTAGTTTCTCCGGCTATTTGAACCAAACACAACAGTCTGGTGATGAAAAATAGTTACGTTTATTTTTTTTTTTTTTGAAAAAAAATGGTTATTATACAATTTCCATATATGAAAATTGTATGATAACCATTTTTTCATGAAAGCCAAGATTTTCAGAAATTGTTCAAACTTGTTTATAAACAAATTTATATTATTTAAGAGTGCTTTTGCTGAACTTAAAGGACATTGCTCATCAAAAACGAAAATTTAATTTGAAGCTAAAAAAATAGTTATCATACAATTTGCATATATGAAAATTGTATGATAACCATTTTTTCATAAAAGGCAAGATGTTCAGAATTATGTAAAAACTTGTTTTTAACCAAATTTACAGTAATTAAGAGTGCTTTTGCTCAATTTCAAATACCTTGCTTATCAAAAACGAGGTTTTAAAGCCAGGTCTTTTTTTGCTCAGTTTTAATCGTCACAAATTGTTAGCTTACGACGAGTAAAACTGAGATCTCGAAGGTCGGAGCCACGCAGTTCTTCTTCTCTGAAAACTACTCGGGGTAGGTTGGGGTTAGGGTTAGGTTAGGATTAGGGTTTCTCAATAATAATATTTTCACAAGTTTTGGAAAAAAGAATTGAAAAAAAAAAAAACAAATTTCTAGCCAGAACAATTCTCTTTGGATCAACTCTGAATAACTGACACAATATTCGTCTTTGGGAAAACAAAACAGGTTTGTCCATCCATTCATCAAGTGATACTCATGATTTATCTCAATTTTTTGAGAATTTAGGCCAAAAGACGGTTTCAAATGTTTTTTGCTTTGAAATGAGATAATTGTCATTATCTTAGAATATCATGATGTCATTGAACTGTAATATCAAACAATATCCAGGAGAAATAGTTATCTTTTTTTAATTGTGGATTGTTTCTAACGGAAAATTTGCTGTTTGATTATTATATAATACTGTAAATATCACCAAATTGTTCATACTGATCAAGTATACAACAATCACTAACCGATTGATCCAGCTACCACCAACAACGATAGCCGTAAGAATATATAATTAATGCTTAAAACCTCGCTTTTACATTAATCTCAAGTCCTGACCTCTAAGTCATCATTTGGTAACAGGAGTGTGGGATTGCCATCAAAGCGATACGAATTCTTGCGGAAGAAGACAAAAACAAGAATACGGATATTCTAATTCATTAAATCCTGGCAATTTTGAGGAGTTTTGCATGGAGCTGACGTCTTCTAACAGCCATCATCACCAACGACGAAGATTGGGCCAATTCAGGATAGCCCCAAAGTAGGAGACTACTGAAGAAAAAGAAGAAAGAAATCCACTCAAGGGTTGATAGCAGTTATTCTAACATCCAGAGGCCCAGTAGATTGTCTAAAAACGGAAGCAGCCATGTCATTTTCATCGACATTGTCTTAGACCAAATGATCAGTGGTTTGTTCGACCAGTGAAAAATCAAAAACCGTAAAAATTTTTTAAAGAGTAGTTGTGTCGTAATCTTAGAAAATCATGATGTCATTGAACTGTAATATCAAACATTATCCAAGAGAAATAGTTATCACTATTTATATGTGGATTGTTCTTAAAGGAAATTTTGCCGTTTGATTATTATCACCAAATTATTCATACTGATCAAGTATACAACAATCACTAATCGATTGGTCCAGCTACCAGCAACAACTATAGCTGTAATAATATTTAATTAAGGCTTAAAACCTCGCTTTTACATTTATCTCAAGTCCTGACCGCTCAAGTCATCATAAGAATCCCGGAATTCTCATGTTTTGTTCAATATTTTTAAATTTTCTTAATCTTTTCATTATAATTTGGTTTCCTAGAACTCATTCAAAGCCAAAGAAAATCAAAAAAAGAAGTTTTTTATACAGGGATGAACAAAAGGCTAACAAATAGCCAAATTTTTTTTCCTAGTCACAATGTTTTCTTTTAGGACGTAACAAAAAAATGAAATTTTAAGCTCTTAAAATGGTACTATAATATATTGTTAGCTCAAGAGAAGCTCAACCATACCATTTTTGTTGAAATCCAATAAGTTTCCGTTGATAATCTTTTTTCTGCTGCCAGTCATTCTATTATCAATATTTTTTTTCTTGGACTATGAGTCAAATTTAACATGATTTGATTGTAGTTTCAATCAAAAGATCATGGCTAGAGCTCTCTAAAGCACTCCCATTTTTTGCCAATTTAGAGAGAAAAAGATGTTTTCGTCTAATCGCAACTTTTGCGAAAATTGACTTTTATACCAATTCTGAGTTTTTCCTCGTGTCTTTGAAGTTTTGCTTTTTACTGAGGAATGCAAGGTGATTAGAAGCTCAATTGTGTTGTTGATAAACAGAGTAAGTGAGTGATTACGATGAACCTATTGTAGTTTTAGTTTCTAAGAAAACATATTGGGGAAGCCGTACCAAAAACAAAAAAATTTATGCAAAGTAGCAAAATAACACATTGAATTTTGCAATTACATCTAAACAAATTTTCAGTTTGAGCAAACGAGGTAGCTCTCGGAGTGACTTCAGAAGCAGGTTTAGTATTAAAGCACATTAAATTGTGCTGTAAGCATTAAAAATTGGTTTAGTTTTTTTTTTAATTGATAAACCCAAAGCTTTAGTTTATGCTTAACTTGTCCATGATGTTCAGCAGAATGTGATCTGAATTTTCGCTTTCAAAGGCATTTGTCACCTGTAAACATTTATATATGATCGAAATGTTCCTTTGGATGATTAAAAACTGACGTTTACACAGTTTTTTCTTTGTACATGTTTTTCAACTAAGCACTTAGGGTAGGCGCTTTTTGTGCTTACTCGACTCAAAAGTGTTTTTTTTTCTTAAAAACAGAATTATAAGTAGTGCATATTATAAAAACCGTGCTATTTTGACCTGTTTGATAATGAAAGCTATCAGTCAGTCAGTCGTGGTCTATACTGTCTTCCAGTACCCGTTTTTGCTTGTTTTGACCGGTCTTTGAATTTTTTTCGTGATGACCTCCATGCTAGTTGACTATCCTTATATGGGACTTGAATTCTATGTATATTGCAGCTAGGATGATACAACTTCGAGGTTAAGCGTAGATTACACCAGTGTTCATGATGTTAGCATCATGAGTACGGTTAAAATAGGTTTAGTCAGGTTTTTTAGTCAATTTTTGTTGTTACAGGTCTTTTTTTAATGAGTATACATCAATTTTTTAGGCAAAACTTTTCGTAGAAATGACGGATTTAAATGGGAGTAATATCATTAGTTCGGTCTTGAGCAGCACTTTCTCCTAGTACCCGAGTTTCTTTGTTTTGGAAAGTATTTAGGAAAAAGATATGCATATTTATTAGAGAAACGTTAAAACCAGTTGAAGGGCTCGAAAAAAGATGTGATAACTCATTGTATATTGAAGCTAGAATAATAAAACTATGAGGTTAAGCGTAAAGTACAACAGTGTTGATGATGTTATTATCAGATTTATAGTTAAACGTTTTCAGTCACATTTTTTGGTCATTTTTTTGTTGTTACAGTACTTTTTTTTTATTAATGAGTATACATCAGTTTTTGACAAAGAACTCGTCGTAGAGATGACGGTTTTAAGGAGAGGGGTATCAATAGTTTGGTCTTGAGCAGGGTTTTCTCCTAGTACCCGAGTTTGTTTGTTTTGTTAAGTATTTAGGAAAAATATATGCATATTTATTAGAGAAACGTTAAAACCAGTTGATGGGCTCGAAAAAAGATGTGATAACTCATTGTATATTGAAGCTAGAATAATAAAACTTTGAGGTTAAGCGTAAAGTACAACAGTGTTGATGATGTTATCATCAGATTTATAGTTAAACGTTTTCAATCACTTTTTTTGGTCATTTTTTTGTTGTTACAGTACTTTCTTTTTTATTAATGAGTATACATCAGTTTTTTAAGAAGAACTCGTCGTATAGATGAAGGATTTAAGTGAGAGGGGTATCAATAGTTTGGTCTTGAGCAGGGCTTTCTCCTAGTACCCGAGTTTGTTGGTTTTGTTAATTATTTAGGAAAAATATATGCATATTTATTAGAGAAACGTTAAAACCAGTTGAAGGGCTCGAAAAAAGATGTGATAACTCATTGTATATTGAAGCTAGAATAATAAAACTTTGAGGTTAAGCGTAAAGTACAACAGTGTTGATGATGTTATTATCAGATTTATAGTTAAACGTTTTCAGTCACTTTTTTTGGTCATTTTTTTGTTGTTACAGTACTTTTTTTTTATTAATGAGTATACATCAGTTTTTTAAGAAGAACTCGTCGTAGAGATGACGGTTTTAAGGAGAGGGGTATCAAGAGTTCAGTCTTGAGCAGGGTTTTCTCCTAGTACCCGAGTTTGTTTGTTTTGTTAAGTATTTAGGAAAAATA